GCTCACCACCTCGCCGCTCGCGCGGCAACAACACCGGAGCACGGTGCGGGGGGGTGAGGAGGGTGCGTGTCGGTTATTTTGCTGGGATGCTGTCTCGTGCAAATTATGCCGGGGAGATGAACAAGGACCAAAATTTGGGGCACATCGAGGGAGCAAAAAGAACATCTGACAAAACCACGCGAGGGGAGAACTCCACGTAACAGCATTGTTCCCAAAAGGCGTATCATCACCATCATCATGGTTATTGTTATTATTAAAACAACAGATTTCCCAGGACAGCAGTTGCCTTAAAATAGCCAAGGCAGGTGGCAGCTCTGTCACGGACTGACGTGATTCATTTTTTTTCTTCTCTCGCTCATTTCTTCCGTCTGTTTCGTATTCTCCCCCCCAACCCCCCCCCCCAACCACCGCCTCCCCGATATCCGCCTCGTTGGCACGCTTTCTTGTCCGCTCCGTCAGCCTCGGACGTAACGTGAGCGGAGAGCTCGCGTACTATCCTCCGCACGCGACGGCCAAACGAGTGACTTCCGCTTCCTCACGATCAGCCGCACCGATCGCGAGAGTGGTACTGGCCGAGCCCCTCACTGGGACTCGAACGCGTTTCTTCTTCTTCTGCTCTACGAAGGAACGCTTTTTGCACGACACGGAACGAGCTTTCCGAGCGGCCGACGGCAAACTGCTTTCTTGAGCCGCGCGGCTGAGCGGTACAGCGACGACACCGTATGCAGAATTGAACAGTAACGCAGAATGATACAGTGAAGCGGAATGATACAGTAACGTGGAATGATACAGTAACGCGGAATGATACAGTAAAGCGGAATGATACAGTAACGCGGAATGATACAGTAAAGCGGAATGATACAGTAAAGCGGAATGATACAGTAAAGTGGAATGATACAGTAACGCGGAATGATATAGTAAAGCGGAATCATACAGTAAAGCGGAATGATACAGTAAAGCGGAATGATACAGTAAAGCGGAATGATACAGTAAAGCGAAATGATACAGTGAAGCGGAATAGTAAAGCGGAATGATATGGTAAAGCGGAATGATACGGTAACGCGGAATGATACGGTAAAGCGGAATGATACGGTAAAGCAGAATGATATGGTAAAGTGGAATAGTAAAGCGGAATGATATGGTAAAGCGGAATGATACGGTAACGCGGAATGATACAGTAAAGCGGAATGATACAGTAAAGCGGAATGATACAGTAAAGCAGAATGATACAGTAAAGCAGAATGATACAGTAAAGCGAAATGATACAGTAAAGCGGAATTATACAGTAAAGCGGAATGATACGGTAAAGCGGAATGATACGGTAACGCGGAATGATACGGTAACGCGGAATGATACGGTAAAGCGGAATGATACGGTAAAGTGGAATGATACGGTAAAGTGGAATGATACGGTAAAGCGGAATGATACAGTAAAGCGGAATGATACAGTAAAGCGGAATGATACAGTAAAGCGGAATGATACAGTAAAGCGGAATGATACAGTAAAGTGGAATGATACAGTAAAGCGGAATGATACAGTAACGCCGGAATGATACAGTAACGTGGAATGATACAGTAACGTGGAATGATACAGTAAAGCGGAATGATACAGTAAAGCGGAATGATACAGTAAAGTGGAATGACACAGTAAAGTGGAATGATGCAGTAACGTGGAATGATACAGTAAAGTGGAATGATACAGTAAAGCAGAATGATACAGTAAAGTGGAATGATACAGTAACACCGGAATGATACAGGAAAGTGGAATGATACAGTAACACAGAATGTTACAGTAAAGTGGAATAATACAGTAAAGCGGAATGACACAGTAAAGCAGAATGATACAGTAAAGTGGAATGATACAGTAAAGCTGAATGATACAGTAAAGCAGAATGATACAGTAAAGTGGAATGATACAGTAACGCGGAATGATACAGTAAAGTGGAATGATACAGTAAAGCGGAATGATACAGTAAAGCTGAATGATACAGTAAAGCAGAATGATACAGTAAAGTGGAATGATACAGTAACGCGGAATGATACAGTAAAGTGGAATGATACAGTAAAGCGGAATGATACAGTAAAGTGGAATGATACAGTAACGCAGAATGATACAGTAAAGTGGAATGATACAGTAACGCAGAATTATATAGTAAAGCAGAATGATACAGTAAAGTGGAATGACACAGTAACGCAGAATGATACAGTAAAGTGGAATGATACAGTAAAGCAGAATGATACGGCACGCAGTGACGTGCCCTCATGTCAATTATTTGTCCCGCAGTCTGATTTTACAGCCCGCGAATGTGATTCAGTAACTCACTAATCCCTCGCCTCACACATTTTCACGTCGCACGGCACTTTTTAGGAACGCATTGATTACCCGCGTTAAACTGAGGGATTAATGTAATATCGATTTCAACCGATGAATCGATGCGTGGTTACATGCCCAGCCGTGAGCACAATGTGCTATGATCCTGCTGACAACTGCGGCTGGCTGATACTCTTGCGGCTCACCGATTCGCTCGATCCCAACCCGTTATTCATTCGCTTCCTTTTCTCTCTTCTGTCACTGCTACCATCGTGGAAATCGAGCAGTTCACGCCGTGACACCCCTTTTGCCCAAGTCCAGGAGGAGTTTACGTCCCCACCAGAGATGGACCGCTTCGACTCGCGCACACCGTGTCGAACGCCGTGTCCCAGCTCACAACAACACACTCGCTCGCTCACCACACCGCAGGTCACGAGACTTTGACTGCGGCATTCCCTCCCATTGTCACGGGCCACAGTCGTGCGATCGTGGTCATGCAACCCAAGCCAATGGGACCGTATGGCAGAGGCAGCAGCAGCAGCACTATCCAACAGGTCACGAACTACACTGCCATACGCAAGAGGAAGACGGAGAGACATGCAGAGTTACTCAGACATACACAGAGACACATAGACATACACAGAGACACATAGATATACATAGACACATAGATATACACAGACACATAGGTATACACAGAGACACATAGATATACACAGAGACACATAGATATACACACAGACACATAGATATACACACAGACACATATATACACACAGACACATAGACATACACAGAAACACATAGACATACACAGAGACACATAGATATACACAGAGACACATATATACACAGAGACACATAGATATACACAGAGACACATATATATATATACACACAGACACATAGATATACACACAGACACATATATATACACACAGACACATAGACATACACAGAAACACATAGACATACACAGAGACACATAGATATACACAGAGACACATAGATATACACAGAGACACATAGACATACACACAGACACACATATACACAGAGACACATAGATATACACAGAAACACATAGATATACACAGAGACACATAGATATACACAGAGACACATAGACATACACACAGACACATAGATATACACAGAAACACATAGACATACACAGAGACATAGATATACACAGAGACACATATATACACAGAGACACATAGATATACACACAGACACATAGATATACACAGAGACACATAGATATACACAGAGACACATAGATATACACAGAGACACATAGATATACACAGAGACACATAGATATACACAGAGACACATAGATATACACAGAGACACATAGATATACAGAGACTCGCAGAGACCCACAGAGACGCATTATATACAAATCACAGGAGTGCAACTTTGGCCATGCAACCCAAGCTACGCACCATAGATTGAATCCATAGACACCCCACAGAGACCCTACAGAAACACATTGAGATACATTAAAGACAGGCCAGTCAACACCACTGTGGTCTGCGCTCCTTCAACGGAGGAGGAACAGCGACACAAACTCTCTCGCTCTCTCTTTTGAAGCCCTCTCGTCATGGCTAGTGGGACTCCACTTTGGCATCATCGGGCTTCCGAACCACAACGCTGCTGCTGCTGCCATCATCGTGGGCGACGACAGAATAGCCCATCTATAAACCTTGCTCAATGAAAGGAATGTATCGACTATTGCACGTTCGTCTTCCATCGCCTGAGGCCCGGGTCGTGTTTTCGCAAGAGGCATGAAGACAGAGTTCGTTTCCGGACAGCCGACGCGTTGTTATCGGCGTGCATTCGTGACGGCCTGGACTCAAAAGAGCGCGGCGAGAGGAAATGCTCCGGCTCTGCTCACTTGATAGTGCTGTTTGTTACGGGCCGCTGGGGCCTTTTTGAGTCCATGCTCAGCAAATACGATTTATGTACGAAACAAATAATGTGCGTGTTTGCGCGCGCGCGCGTGCGTTCATTCCCAGGCGTGGTGCTGGTCATCCACCCCTTCATGTGCCGTGCCGGCCTTCATAGGTGCCCACGAACAGCACTTGCCCCAACAGTCTGTTACAGGCTATACGGGGAGTCTTTTGATATTTGTGAATAAGTGGGGAGCAGTTGGTGTAGCAGTTAGCATGCTGCTCTACAAACCTGGCGACCCGAATTCAATTCCCGCTCACGGCCAACACCGGTGCCGATTATCTGAACGGGTCCTGGGCCTCTTCTAAGTGGGCTCAGCCTGAAATGAGTACCTGGTGCGGTGTGTAAACATGGGGAGACAAAGTCGGCCGGGCGTGGTGTTAGCCACCCACTCCCTCGTGTGCCGTGCCGGCCTTCATAGCTGCTGCTGCTCACTAACAGCACTTGCCCCAACAGTCTGCTAAGGCTACACGGGGGGGGGGGAATCTTTGTCTTTGTGTGTTAACGAGCAAATGCGTGTGTACACCATTTCAATTATCAGTAACAAAAAATAAGAAAAAGGCCCACTTTTAGTATTTCGCTAACTTATTCTTTCCACTCAAGTCGTCGCTTTTTTCCGCCTTAATTCTGTTCTTACGCTCTTTTACAGAGAATTTATTAAAACAAAAAAAACACACTAATTTTATAACTTACCCCCCCCCCGAATAAAACGCGTCGTTATCACGGCTCACCTCACGCCAATGCGCAATTTCATCGCGCATCTTGCCGGCACGTGCCTTCGGCGTGCTTTTGCCACAGCCGTGCCCCGAAGAACGATCGATGCATTTTTTTGCGCGCTCATGATCTACACAGGGCGGGGGTGGAAGGGGGGGGGGGGAGCAAGATGGTGAAAAATTTGCCAGGTATGCACAGTAGTACGTACGTACCATCGAACTTCTTCGTAGCCAACCGTAGAAATCAAGAGTTGCGTGGAGAAGGGCAACAACAACATTTACAGCCTGTTCAACACGTAGTAGTAGTAGGCTTTCGCAACCGATATTATCCATAGCAGAGGTTTTTTTTTGGGGGGGTTCGATCGCGTAAAATATAAATGCGCGGTGTGACATCTGCCACCGCCCAACCGACACCGCCAATCAGCGAGGTAGGTTTTGCGTCGCGTAAGAACGAAACGCGGCCAATTCGTTCGCGCGGTCCAATTCGTGAACGCGGCACGAACCACGGTGGCCATTTTGGATAGGAACCACGAGGCTCGGCGCAGGATGGGGCGAGTGGGCTGCCGCCGGGTGGCCGCGTCACCACGCCACGGAGAGGGATCGGCGGTGCCCGCGACCGGTTCAGGTTTCAAATCACCAACGAATGTTGGCCGTGGCCGGGGGAATCGAACTCGGAACCGGCCGAGCTCGGAGGGCAGTGGCGGCTACTAACCACTACGCAACTGTTTCCTCGCCTGTTTGTGAAGATGAGCACCGGGCCAGGCGCGATGGCTGGCAACACCTCTCTCCATCTGTCTGTCTTGGTGCGTGTGCACCGGGGCGGCGGCGGCGGCGACATTAATAGGCGCTCGCCAACAGCACTCGCCTTGACGGCCTATCGGGATACACGGGGTCGGGGAGCTTTGTCTTCGTATACGCGCGTGCGCGCGCGTGCGCGTGTCAAACCTCTCAATCTTCCATCGTAATCACGGCAATCCGGCCGTCTCCACAGCGATGCGGCTGCCGCCCCTGCCGATGATCACAAGCGCGGGGCGTATAACTAAGCGCGGGCGCGTTTTTTTTTTTTTTTAAACACGGCACATGAATTTCCTCCGAGCGCAAATTTGTCCTGAGAGCCGATGACAGGCGGACGACGACGTCTCTTCGCATCCTCAAAAAATACGGGGACGGTGGGGGGAGGGGGGGGGGGGGGGGGGAGGACAGGGGTACACTCGCTTCAAACACCGCCATTATTCTGATGCAATTTCTTCCGAAACCTTTAACTCAAAAAACCACTTTCAGCCAAGCGGAAGTCCAGTATTACATTTAAGCCGCCGCAGCGCCCTGACGATCGATACACAGTTGAAAAGTATTCCTTCTGATCTAAAGGCCACTTGCCTTTCACCGTGAAATGGCCCCAAATGCATTTACACCCGCCGGTTGGCAATCAGCTGCCACGCCAGCAACGGCCCCGGTCCCGGCCTGGCGGGCCGATGGAAATTGCGCGGCGCGGGCTCATATAACGTCATTACGAGCCGGCACGCCGTCGAGGTGATTTAGACGCTTGGAGGTCACGAGCAGAATTGAGCACCTGATTAAATTTGTAGATCAGAGTCGGGGTCATTCCGGGATTACAAAATGTATTTCATTCCACCCGCGCCCCCCCCCCACTGCGACGCCGCCCCACTGCCCCCACAACCACCACCACCCCTCCCTCCATCGCTCTCTCTCTCTCTCTCTCTCCGCCACCTTTCCCCCCCTCAACCCCACCAGCCACTGCCCCTCAACCACACACTGCCCCCCTCCACCCCATCAACCCCCCTCCCTCTCTCCCCCCCCCCCACCCCCTTCTCCTCGCCGTACATATCACCGCCATGAAAGGAATTGCTCCAAGGGCCTCTAGGAATTACTGTGTCAAGGACGCAAGGTCAATTTACAGAGGTGTCACTCATCCGCTATTATTTTCCGCATGCATTAATACAATGGCGAGGCGGGGGGGGGGGGGGCGGGAAGGGAAAACATTCTGGGTGGAAGAAAAAAACACATAAAATAATTCCGTAAGAACAGTGGGAAATGTTAAGCGTACAGTGCGGGACGTACGCGGTATAACAAAAAAAACACAAAGCGTCAAAATGTAGTGGATGTGCTTGCGCGTGCTCGCAACACGCATCGCAACCTCACAGCACGCCAAATTGACGGCGGGCCCGTCACGCGGAGGTGCGTCGCCGTCACGCTCGTGGCCCCGCGAGGCCCCGATCCTTAAACCCCTCGTCGCCACTTCGAGGGACGATCCGAGCGCAGCGAAGATCGCCGCTCCGTCGTTCGGCCGGAGGGGGCTCGCCGAGGCCGGGGAGCGTCGCCGGCTGCCGCGGTGGAGTGAGGGGGAGAGTTGGTTGCTCGGGATTCCTTTCCCCGTGAACTTCTATCCCGCGCCACTCGATTCCATTCCATTCCGGATTCACAGAGGGCCTTTCGCCGAGCCGCTTGACAACGCTTGCCGGCCGCGGTGCAAAGCGGCAAGATGAGGGATGGGGCTAGTGACCCAGGGTGGAGGGAGGGAGCGGGGCGGAGGCTGCGGCGGTGAGGAGGCGTGAGGTGGTGCTGGTAGGGGTGGCGGAAGAGGAAGGGCAGCGCGTGAAGAGGAACGCGACGCGGAGAGTCGGATGTGGAGAGGGAGCCTGTTCCTCTCGTCACATCCGCAGCCCTTATACACGGGGACAGAGATTCACCCCCCCCCCCCCCCCCGTGCATCCTTCACAGAATGATGGGGCAAGTGAGATTAGCGAGCACCCCATGAAGGCTGGCACGGCCACTCACTAGTGCAGCACACCGGTGTGTTGGAGAGCCAAGCCACAGCACACCGGTGTTGCTGTACTAGTGACGAATTGGCCACGTTCTCTTTACGTGACAACCCTTACTAGTTGGCTGTGTCGGATGGTGGCGGGTTTTACCGACACTTTTATATATTTATGAGATCTAACCCCCCCAAAACCCCCTCTATTATGGATATTGGTCGTGAAAGCCTACTACGTGTTAAACTACATACAGACGTATCCACTTCCAAGACCCGTGGACTTACTTGGAGATCCCCATAGATCAACAACTTCTCCCAACCTTAAGTTTCTTATTGCTGCGAAAGAGGCTCGACATACATACGCACAGACGGTCAGATGTCCTCCCTCTCTGCTTCTTCTCTGACCCCCATTCACGGTCCTCCCATCTCACCCCCTCGGTCTCCCTCTGCTCCTGCTGCCCTGCACCAGTGACATCTCGGGAGCCCTTCTAATCTATGGGTCTCCGTGTGAGTCTATGGGTCTCTGTGTGAGTCTATGGGTCTCTGTGTGAGTCTATGGGTCTCTGTGAGTCTATGGGTCTCTGAGTCTATGGGTCTCCGTGTGAGTCTATGGGTCTCTGTGCGAGTCTACGGGTCTCTGTGTGAGTCTATGGGTCTCTGTGTGAGTCTATGGGACTCTGTGTGAGTCTATGGGTCTCTGTGCGAGTCTACGGGTCTCTGTGTGAGTCTATTGATCTTTTTGTGAGTCTATTAATCTCTGTGTGAGTCCATGGGTCTCTGTGCGAGTCTACGGGTCTCTGTGAGTCTATGGGTCTCTGTGTGAGTCAACGGATCTCTGTGTGAGTTTATGGGTCTCTGTGTGAGTCTACGGGACTCTGTGTGAGCATATGGGACTTTGTGTGAGTCTACGGGTATCTGTGAGTCTGTGGTTTTCTATGTGAGTCTAGGGTCTCTATGTGAGTCTATTGATCTTTTTGTGAGTCTATGGATCTCTGTGTGAGTCCATGGGTCTCTGTGCGAGTCTACGGGTCTCTGTGAGTCCATGGGTCTCTGTGTGAGTCAACGGATCTCTGCGTGAGTCTTCGGGCCTCTGCACAAGTGTCTCCGTGCGAGTCTCCGTGGTGACCACGTGACCAATTTCCCCCGTTCGCGCGCTCCGACGAAATTCTCGCGAGCGGGCGAATTCCGCCCGCGGATAATCGGTGGACGGCTGCGAGCGAGCGCGGAGGTCACGGCACTAATGACCTTTGGGAGCTCGTCGCGGACAGACCTCATTCACGGTCCGTCCCTCACGCGAGCGACCACCACCGCCATCACCGCAGCCCCTGACGCCGTTCCCTTCCCACTGAAGTGCTCCTTGGCTCACCAGGTGGCGTTCATTTTTATCAGCCCCCGAGTGGAGACGATGTTAATGGGCACAAGGCGGAGGAGAGGGGGGGGGGCGGAGGTTTAGAATTCACAACCCCAAAAAAACCACGTGGGTCGGCTGCCAAATCTGACCAAGCCGAGTCTCACGCGGCGTCGGACAGAGACAAAGATCCCGCCCGTTACAGCCACGGCAGACTTTCCCGGGCAAGTGCCGCTTGCGAGGCGCCCGCCAGGAAGGCTGGCAACGGCACACGAGAGGGCGGGGTGGACAATGCCGATCCCGACCGTCTTTGTCTCCCCAGTGCTGATGTTTTATGCGCGCCGTGCCGACGATCTTTTGAGGCTGGACGGAGCTAGGAGAGGCATCAGGACCGGCGTATTTACTCCGCCACGGTCGCTGGCCATGAGCGGGAATCAAACTCGGCACTCCGGGTTCGTGGCGCAGCACGCTAACCACTGCTCCCCGCCATATGGGCACGCACACACTCACGCAAACTAAAATATGCAGGTGTAAATCTGCAGGTATATATTTACGTACGTACAGCATTGCTGTTAAATGGGGGAGAGCGGTGGTGCAGTGGTTAGCACGCCGCTCTATGAACACACGAGCGAGAGTTCCGGCTGCGGATAACATCAGTGGCAAATGATATCCGAACCTGTGCCTTGTAACTGACCCGCGCTGACCAAAAACGGTGAAGTACGGTCAAACAACTCCCGCGATTTACATGGAGGGGAGCCTTCATGCACCAGTGGGTTGCCAGAGGGTTCTGTGTTGTGCGCTGCTGACATTGGGCATGCGACGATAACAACAGCAATAGATTTTATTTACCAAGGGTCCCTTGAAAAACGATAGTTCTCAGTGGCGCTGCATCATTCACCTATGGCGGAGACTCACGGCGCACGCGTGTCAGAATCAACTCATTCGCGATTCTTCTTACACCTCTTCGCCCCATGTGGAGCACAAGGCCGCTAACAAGCCCACGGCCATGC